TCTCAATCTCTTGACCTCGTGATTCGCCCGCCTCGGGATTACAGGCATGAGCCACCATGTGAGCCACCGCACCCGGACTATACATAATTTTTAAAATCTACCTTCTTCCCTTGGTATTTCATAAATTTTTTCTCAATGTGCATCAATATCATTAGTAAATGTATTCCGTATCATTATGTAACATTATTTATGTATGTGTTCTCTACCATGAGATATTTCAATTGTTTTCCTTTTTAAACATTATCTGCTGGAAAATCTGGATAAGATCCATGGGTTATCATTGTCCTGGTTGTGATATTTTACTGTTGTTCTGCAGGGTGTCACAGTTGGTGTAAATCAGGTCAAGGGTACAAAAGACCACTCTATTATTTCTTATAACTACATGTGTGTCTACATTTATCTCAGTTTAAAAGACAGTCTTTCCTAGAAAAAAGCTTATTTTTTGAACATTCTTAGGCATGCATTCATATACTACTATAGCTATTTCCTTGTCATAAGTTCCAGAATGTGGAATTTTGAGTCAAAATTAGACATTTGTTCAGTGCCTGCGATAAGCCACACACTGTGGCTGTTAGTACTTGGAATGAGAGTCTGATTCAGTGGACTCAGCTGCTGCCTGTACAGCGTTGATAATCCAGCAAGGGAAACTAAATAGAAAAAGCTCAAGGCAGCCTGTGGTCAAGGCCGGCTGAGACTTCCAGGTCACACACTCAGAGAGGTGCCAGGAAGGGGACGTCATTCTGAGGACAGCCCCCTGATAATTCACGACCAGATAATTCTGAATATACTGACTGTTTGTTGGGATAAATGGAATTTATTTTCTAGGCTTTATACTTTATGTAATGTTTTTCCTTCTTTAGTTTTTTGTAGAGATGGGGTCTCGCTGTGTTGCCTAGGCTGGTCTCAGACTCCTGGCTTCCAGCAGTCCTCCTACCTTGGCCCCACAAAGTGCAGTGTTGGCATTACAAGCGTGAACCCCTACGTCTGGACTTTTTTTGTCCTTTATCCTTTTTTATTTTTATTTTTATTTTTATTTCTGAGACAGAGTCTCACTCTGTCACCCAGGCCAGAGTACAGTGGCGTCATCTGGGCTCACTGCAAACCCCACCTCCTAGATTCAAGCAATTCTTGCGCCTCAGCTTCCTGAGTAGCTGGAATTACAGGCACGTACCACCACACCCAGCTAATGATTGCATTTTTCTAGTAGAGATGGGGTTTCGCCATGTTGGCCAGGCTGGTCTCAAACTCCTGACCTCAAGTAATCCGTCCGCCTCAGCCTCCCAAAGTGCTGGGATTACAGGCCACGGTGCCTGGCTAGGAGTAGACTTATTAAGAGAAAAAAGAAACCTTCTTTGTCTTTTGAGAGTCTGATTGCCTCTGACTGCATTTCAAATCAATACACATTTGTATATGATGAGGTCATGCATGCCTGTTGTTGCAACACATAGGTGCACTTAAGAAACTCAGGATCACAGGGTGTGTCAGGAGTTGTCAAGACCACCACCAGGATCCTTGTTTCTCTAGATGGACTCACAGGACCCACCATCTAGATCTACTCGTGACTGATTTATTCCAGCGAAGGGATACAAAGCAAAATCAGCTGAGGGAGAGGTTGCCTAGCCTGGCTCATCCAGCATCGCATGGTGACAACACCCGTTCCATGTTGTCAACCAGGGAAGCGCACCAGAGTCCGGTGGTGCAAGGTTCGGTTTGGTTTGATTTGGTTTTGAGTCGGAGTTTTGCTCTTTCGCCCAGGCTGGAGTGAAGTGGCGTGATCTCGGCTCACTGCAACCTCTGCCCCCTGGGTCTGAGTGATTCTCCTGCCTCGGCCTCCCAAGTAGCTGGGATTATAGGCGCCCGCCACCATACCCAGCTAATTTTTGTCTGGTAGCGAAAGGTTGTGATCAAGGTTCATGCACACGCTGCCTCGCACAATCTGAATCTTCTGGACTCCCGGAGGAAACCAAGGGTTCCGGGTAAACCACATCGTTTTCTATACTGAGTTATTCCACTGAAGGGATACAAAACAAAATCAACAGAGGGAGAGGTTGCACAGGACAGGTTAGCAGGAAACCAGGCTCAGTTTAGGTGCAGCGAGCCACTTTTACACGTGAAAGAAGAGCGAGAACTCTCAGATCTGGTTTTCAGACGCCACAGGCCGGTGTTGTGAGCAGACCGAACGGTGGCAGTTTCCAGTTCACTCTGTTAACTGTTCTGCATTGGGGTCGTAGAACTTCCCAGCTTTTCCTTTCTGTTTCTCTGCTTTCTATTTCTCTGTTTTTATGTCTCTATTTTTTATATTTTTCTACTGATATCTTACGGTTGGTTTGTCAGCGTGTATGTGTCTGCGTTCCCTCCTTCCCTCTCTCCTCCTCTCCCTCTCTCTTCATATATATACATGTGTGCATATGTGTATATACAGACAGATGCGTGTGTGTGTGTGTTTTTATATAGGGAATTTTATAAATGTTATTGTGTCAGTCTGTTTTGGTAACCTAAATTTTCTACTAAGAGTGTGTCTGAAATATCTCTTATGTCTTTAAATAGTTTTTCTAACTTAACATTCAGTAACCATTTACTATTTTACTTGGATATTCTGTGTGTAGTTATGCTGTCAGCTTTTCTGGACCCACAAGTGCTCTCAGATATCACCTCTGGTATACAAAAAAAAAAAAGTTGGGTATATTGACTGAGCAGTTCCTTGTCCACCTGCCATATTTTGAGTAACATCACCCAATCTAGAGGCCAGAAAAGATCCAAGTTTCGATAATACAGCCCCTCTTCACCCTGGAAGCTTGTCTGGGGGGACCAGGGTGGGCTCAGAATGAGATTAAATACTTTTAAACACCCACTCTCAGATCCCAGAGCACAATCTCCCCGTCCAGAGTTAGCTGATCTATGAGGCTCATGGGCACAGTCTGATAGAAAACCACCCTCACTTCCAACACCACTGCGAAGTTGGGGGGATTCCCCAAACCACCTTCAGGTTCAACAGTTCACTAGAGCCAGGCATGGTGGCTCATGCCTATAATCCCAGCACCTTGGGAAGCTAAGGTGGGAAGATCACTTGAGGCCAGGAGTTCAAGACCAGCCTGGGAAATACAGTGAGACCCAATCTCTACAAAAAAAAGCAAACAAAATTAGCCAAGTGCAGTGGTGTGGTGCAACCTGTAATCCCAGCTACTCGGGAGGCTGAGGTGGGAGGATTGCTTGAACCCAGGAAGTCAAGGCTGCAGTGAGCTGAGATTGTACCACTGCTCTCTAGCCTGGGTGAGAGTGAGACCCTGTCTTAAAAAAAAAAAATTCTCTAAAAGTACCCACAGAATTCACTGAAAGATGTTACGCTTATGGTTACAGTTTATTACAAGGAAAGGATACAGATTGTCATCACTCAAGGAAAGAAGTACGTGGCCAGGCGCAGTGGCTCGCGCCTGTAATCCCAACACTTTGGGAGGCCAAGGCAGGCAGATCACAAGGTCAGGAGTTCGAGACCATCCTGGCCAACATGGTGAAACCCCGTCTCTACTAAAAATACAAAAAATAGCTGGGCATGGTGGCGTGTGCCTGTAGTCCCAGCTACTCAGGAGGCTGAGGCAGGAGAATCACTTGAACCCGGGAGGCAGAGGTTGTGGTGGGCCGAGATCGTGGCTCTGCACTCCAGCCTGGGCAACAGAGCGAGATCCGTTCGAAAAAAAAAGTACAAGGCCATGAGTGGATCACAAGGTCAGGAGATCGAGACCATCCTAGCTAACAGGGTGAAACCCTGTCTCTACTAAAAAATACAAAAAACTAGCTGGGTGAGGTGGCAGGCGTCTGTAGTCCCAGCTACTTGGGAGGCTGAGGCAGGAGAATGGTGTAAACCCGGGAGGCGGAGCTTGCAGTGAGCTGAGATCCGGCCACTGCACTCCAGCCTGGGCCACAGAGCAAGACTCCGTCTCAAAAAAAACAAAAAAAAGTACATAAGTTGAAGTCCAGGAGGGTTCCAGACACAGAGCTTCTGGTGTCCTTTCCCTGTGGAATCAGGACTCATTACTCTGCTGTCTTTGGTGTGTGACAATAGGCACCAACTGTCACCAACTAGGGAAGCTCACCTAAGCTCTGATGTTGGAAGTTTTTATTGGGCTTCAGCGTGTAGACATGATTGACTGGTTGGTTGGTTGATTGTCTGCATGGTTAAGGTCAGTTTCCAGGTCAGCTGGTACTGCATGACCGAGAGCTCCTACCCTGAGTCACTTGATTAGTATTTCTGGCGCAGCAAGCCCCCATCAGAAACAAAGACGCTCCTCTTAGATGTAATATTGATTAACTTTCAGCACCAGAGGGCAAAGGCCAGACTACTTTTCGGGCAAGTCCACATTCTTTACTACATCCCACCCATCAGTCCCCGATAGGGAGCTGGCCAGAAATGAAGTCCTCCTGTTAAACTGTCTGGGCCTGTCTTTGAGGCAAAAAAAAAAAAAAAAAAAAAGTAAAGCCTCCTCTGCTGCGTGCAGCTAGGTTTCCTGAGGTTTCATTGAGAGCTTGGTTTAGGTTTGATCCATGATGCTCTTTTTTTTTTGAGACGGAGTCTTGCTCTGTTGCCAGGCTGGAGTGCAGTGGCGCAATCTGAGCTCACTGCAACCTCCACCTCCCGGGTTCAAGCAATTCCCCTGCCTCAGCCTCCCAAGTAGTTGGGACTACAGGTGCGCGCCACCACATCCGGCTAATTTTTTGTATTTTTTTAGTAGAGACGGGGTTTCACCGTGTTAGCCAGGATGGTCTCGATCTCCTGACCTCGTGATCCGCCCACCTCAGCCTCCCAGAGTGCTGGGATTACAGGCGTGAGCCACCGCGCCCAGCCTGATCCATGATACTCTTCACCTTTCCCAGATATGTCACGGTTATGTCTTTGTGTTGGGAAGCCAAGACAGGAGCCAAAAGGTCATATTACATATCACATCCCCGGGGAATATGGGGACCCCGGGTGCACCTGGTTTTAATCTCTCTTTTTCCGCCCCTAGCTCTAGCCTCTCAGAGTTTGTGTCTTCTTCAGTGGAAACCCCAAGAAGACTGATCAGTTCTTCATTTCTAAAACAATGGCCCAGGTAAGTGTGTATTTCTCTTTCCTTCTTGAGCTGTGAGATTTGCGTTTGGTGCATCTGCTTGTGAATTATCTGAAGCCTTTTATCTAGTCAAGCTCTTCATAATTACCTATTTCCCAGTTCTTTCTGTTCCAGTGAATGATAATGCCATATAACTCCGCATTGCCTTTTGGGGAAATCACAGAGCACGTGATTCAGTATCTCCTATTTGCTCCCTTTTGGGGCCAGGGTAATGTTGGAGCAGTGAGGTAGCAAAGTCCTTTGAGGGACATATTTAAGTCAAGTCCGTGATTCGATGAGTTAGATATGTTGGTCCCATTTGACCACGTGAGAAACGAATCCTCCACTGAGCGTGCTTTCTGCGTAGATAAGAGGGGACGCTCATATTCACTGGTCTTATTATGTGCTCAGATCCCAAGCTTGATGGGACTTTTGGAAGGGGTTGGGGCTGTGATTAGGACCTTTGAACAGAGGTCGTGTTCCTGCCGGGGAAGCTGGGGGGTAAATTTTATTATTGAATGGATCTCTCAGACCGCAAGATGATTCTAAATCATCTGACATCCTTATCCTCTAATTCAGGAACAGGGGGCCAGGCATGGTGGCTTACGCCTGTAATCCCAGCACTTTGGGAGGCCGAGGCAGGTGGATCACAGGGTCAGGAGATCGAGACCATCCTGGCTAACATGGTGAAACCCCGTCTCTACTAAAAATACAAAAAAAAAAAAAAAAAAAAAAAAATCAGGAACAGGGGAAAGACTGGGTTGGGGATGGTAAGAAACATGAAGATCTTCCAGTATGGAAGTAGGAGATGATCGCATACCCCAGAATTGGAGAAAGCCTTAGGTGTTTTGGTCAACCTAAGTGAATAACTATAATGAACAGTCTGACTTAACCTGTGTGGGAATTTTTTTAAATGCTTAAAAGGAAGACTGCTTAAAATGTAGTTTGGCATGATGAACCTGAGGCTTGAAAACATTCAAACATGCAAACCCTATTTTCTTTTTTTTTTCCTTGGGATAGAGTTTCGCTCTTGTCGCCCAGGCTGGAGTGCAGTGGCGCAATCTCGGCTCACCGCAACCTCAGCCTCCCGGGTTCAAGCAATTCTCCTGCCTCAGCCTCCTGAGTAGCTGGGATTACAGGCACTCACTGCCACGCCCGGCTAATTTCGTATTTTTAGTAGAGACGAGGTTTCTCCATGTTGGTCAGGCTGGTCTCGAACCCCTGACCTCAGGTGACCCACCTGCCCCGGCCTCCCAAAGTGCTGGGATTACAGGCGTGAGCTGCCACACCCGGCAAACCCTATTTTCTAAAATAAAAGATCTTAAACAAAAATCTTGGTTTTTCTTCCCCCCTTAAAAGAAAAAATGCTGTAGGAATCCACACTTGTTGAGAACTTACAAGGCAGACATATAGCAGACACTGCTTGTCAACAAGAAGAAAGCTTGGATTGTTTTATCTACTTCCCGGCAGGTTTGACTAATTGAGGATTCTGCACAGTACAAGCCATTTTCTCTGCAGCGGCAGAGCTCTTCAGTGGCATGCAGGCATTCTGCTTCCATCACAGTTACGCTGATGTCCTTACCGCCCCCTGCCCATGTCACAGGTGTTCACCCTACCCAGAGGGGGCCTCTTGTCTCCTTCATCTGGAAGCTGTTTCTTTTCATTTCATCATGCATATGTGGGTTTCTGTTTCAGGGTTTGGTGACATTCGCCGATGTAGCCATAGACTTTTCTCAGGAGGAGTGGGCCTGCCTGAACTCTGCTCAGAGGGACCTGTACTGGGATGTGATGCTGGAGAACTACAGTAACTTGGTCTCACTGGGTGAGTTGCACACGTCAGATAACTTAGACTGCCTCTTGGAATATCCGCTCTCCACTGTGAATTTCAGGACCATCTTTCAAGAAACTAGTTGAATTTCTTCTTCCTGTTCCCAAGGAATGTATTGAGCCTTACTGGTGTGGCCATGAGCATCAGACACCTTCCCCTCCCATCCGTTGGTTACCTTCCCACCTTCATCGACTCCCCCTGTAATCATCTCTCTTCCTTAATGTCCGTGGAATGTGTTGGAGTTCTGGGATGTTTATTTCATGACCATCTTCAGAGGAACCAGTTTGTCCTATGAGGTTACGTTTATACCCAAATTGCTATTGGTGGTCTGTGGTACTCTAGGGACCCACATCTAGGGAAAACACGTGGACACAGTGCCCTGAATTGTTCTAGTAAAGCAGCCTATATGTTTGAAGTAGAGTAGATTAGACAAACAGAATTTGTATAAAACCAAAGTGGGCGTATTTCATGTCTTACGTATCATACCCGAAGTGAGGTTGGAAGTTACAATCCCTGAACTTTGAGTTAAACATTGAATGACAATATCTTGTATACATCTCTGGAAACTTATTTTTCTTCTAGCAAAATAACAACAATGATATTGATAGCTAAGCCGTCTATGGTGACACTGCCTGTAATCCCAGCTACTCAGAAGACTGAGGCAGGAGGATCACTTGAGCCCAGGAGTCAAAGGCTATAGTTATACCACTGTACTCCAGGCTGGGTAACAGATCAAGACCCCATCGCTAAAACAATAAATAAACAAATAGGAATTTATATATGTTTTATATATATACAGACACACACATATATACACGTATTTTATATATATATATATGCTTACTCTGTACCATGTACTGTTCTAAGCACTGTGTGTGTAAGTACATTTCATTTCATTCTCACAAGCAGATGAGATAGGCACAATCATTGTCTATTTTGGAGATGAGGATACTGAGGCACAAAGTGGTGTGGTCAGACAGAGGGAGCAGGAGCTAGAATCAAATCTAACAATTTTGGTCCCCAGGTTCCATCCTGCCAGCTGCCATGTCCCGCTTGGCGCCAGGCATAATGCCTACAGAAACTTAAAATAGGACCTTTTCTCGGCCAGGCGCGGTGGCTCATGCCTGTAATCCCCAGCACTTTGGGAGGCTGAGGTGGGTGGATCACTTGAGGTCAGGAGTTAGAGACCAGCCTGGCCAACGTGGTAAAACCCTGTCTCTACTAAAAATATAAAAATTAGCCAGGCATGGTGGCACATGTCTGTAATCTCAGCTACTCCAGAGCCTGGTGCAGAAGAATCATTTGGACCTGGGAAGCAAAGGTTGCAGGGAGCCAAGATCGCGCTACTGTGCTGCGACCTGGGCAACAGAACGAGACTCTGTCTCAAAAATAGTGAAAAATAAGGCCGGGTGCAGTGACTCACTCCTGTAATCACAACACTTTGGGAGGCCAAGGCGGACAGATCACAAGGATAGGAGTTCAAGACCAGCCTGGCCAACATGGTGAAACCCCACCTCTACTGAAAATACAAAAATTTGCCAGGTGTGGTGGCACATGCCTGTATTTCCAGCTACTTGGGAGGCTGAGGCAGGAGAATCACTTGAACCCGGGAGGTAGAAATTGCAGTGAGCTGAGATCACGCCACTGCACTCCATCCTGGGCGACAGAGCAAGAATCTGTCTCAGAAAAATACATAACTAACTAACTAAATAAAATATGACCTTTTCCCTACCTATCTAGTTTCCTGTTTGTTCTTTATTCCTTTCTCTTTATAAAGTCTTTATTAATAGCGTTTCCTTTCCTTTTTTTTTTTTTTTAAGATGAGATTTTTTTTTTCACTCTGTCACTCAGGCTGGAGTGCAGTGGCGCCATCATGGCTAACTGCAGCCTCAACCTCCTGGGCTCAAGCGATCCTCCCGCCTCATCTCCCTGAGTAGCAGGGACCACAGGTGCACACCACGACACCCGGCTAATTATTGTGTTTTTTTGTAGAGATGGGATTTCGCCATGTTGCCCAAGCCGATCTTGAACTCCTAGGCTAAAGCAACTCACCCACCTCAGCCTCCCAAAGAGGGTGGATTACAGGCATGAGCCACTGCACCCGGCTCAATAGCATTTTGACTTCTGGTTGTTATAAATTTGATTAATAATCAAAAAATTTTTAAGGCCAGGCATGGTGGCTCACGCCTGTAATCCCAACACTTTGGGAGTCCGAGGTGGGCGGATCACCTGAAGTCAGGACTTCAAGACCATGGCCAACATGGTGAAAACCCGTCTCTACTAAAAATACAAAAATTAGCCGGTGTGGTGCTGTGTGCCTGTAATCCCAGCTACCCAGGAGGCTGAGGCAGGAGAATCACTGGGACCTGGGAGGCAGAGGCTGCAGTGAGCCAAGATCATGCCACTGCAGTCCAGCCTGGGCAACAGAGCAAGTTTCAAAAAGCTGGGCATGGTGGCCGTGCCTGTAATCCCAGCTGCTTGGGAGGCTGAGGCAGGAGAACTGCTTGAACCCTGGAGGTGGAGGTTGCAATGAACCGAGATCACACCACTGCACTCCAGCCTGGGTAACAGAGCAAGACTCCCTCTCAAAAAATAAAAATAAAAATAATTTTTAAAGAATTTTTAAAGTTTTGAGCTTGAAATTTTTCCTCAAGTTCTATGTCCTCTAGCATTTTGTTTTTTTAAAGGAGGGCATATCATTTCTAAGCCAGATGTACTGTCTTACAGAATTAAGGGAAAGAGCCTTGATGGTTGTGAGGGAAAAGACAAGACAACAATACCGAGGAAAGTGAGAGCCAGTTAGCCACCCGTACAAAGGGCATCCCCGCTGGGCAGGGAACGGGCACACCCTGAGGTGTTGGAGAAGCCTTCTCCAAAGGTTCAGGCCTAAAGCCTCTAGGAAAGAAAGATCTTAGCCGGGCGTGGTGGCTCATGTCTGTAATCCCAGCACTTTGGGAGGCCGAGGTGGGCAGATCAGGAGGTCAGGAGATCGAGACCATCCTGGCTAACACAGTGAAACCCCGTCTCTACTAAAAATACAAAAAGTTAGCCGGGCATGGTGGTGGGCGCCTGTGGTCCCAGCTACTCGGGAGGCTGAGGCAGGAGAATGGCGAGAACCCGGGAGGCGGAGCTTGCATTGAGCCGAGATCGCACCACTGCACTCCAGCCTGGGTGACAGAGCGAGACTCCGTCTCAAAAAAAAAAAAAAAACTTACCACGAACTTGATCTTCACCCCATTTCCCTGTCACCTTGTTTTTCCTTTCATATTTAACCCCATTTGATGTGCTGCTGGTGCTGTGGGTCTGTGGGCCACGCCTTTAGTAGCAGGGGTAGAGCTGACGTGATCCTCTGCCCTTCATCATTCCTGAAAGTGGGTTAGCCCCGCTTTAAGCGCCCGTTTTCTTTTTCTTTTATCTAGGTGTTGGCAATACCGCTTCCTGGGTGCTGGTCATGTACCTCCACCATGAGGCACCTAGTATCTGGTTGTAGCTCTTTGCCGTTGGCGGTCATTGGCAGTGCTCACCTTCGTTACACTGGGGCTCAAATGCTGCGTGCCTATCACTGCCTCTTCATTTATTAGCCTATAATTTAAAGAGAAGCTTTGTTTCATCTGCTAATTGCTCATGCAGTGGCACTGTTCATATTGGATAACGAGGACAAAAACTTTGTTCTTTTCCTTTGTTGGTTTTTACGTTGTTTTTGTTTTTTGTTTTTTGTTTTTTTGAGACAGGGTCTTACTCTGTCACCCAGGCTGGAGTGCAGTAGTGCAGTCTGGGCTCACTGCAGCCTTGACTTCCCAGGCTCAAGCCATCCTCCTACCTCAGCCTCCCGAGGAGCTGGGACTGTAGGTGCACACCACCATGCCTGGCTAATTTTTATTTTATTTTTTTGTAGAGACAGGGTTTTGCTGCTTCCCAGGGTTTTGCTGTTTCCCAGACTGGTTTTGAACTCCTGAGCTCAAGTAATCCACCTGCCTCGGTCTCCCAAAGTGCTGGAATTACAGGCATGAGCCACCGCACCTAGCCAATTGTCAGTTTTTATAATAGAGGATTGGTTTCCTAGCATGCTCCAAAGCTGGCCATTTAACATTTTATAGTATCATTATGAACTCATAGATTTAAGCGTTTGTTGTTTCTCAGTCCTTTGCAGTTAGCCGCCTCCTTGATGCTCAAGTTCTAAACTTTTTCTTGTTATTGTTCTAAACTTTTTCACATTTTTAATTAAATGTAGTCTTGTAGATTATCTTTTTTGTTGCTTTTGAATGTTGTATTCTTTTACCCAGTTGCTTTTTTTTTTTTTTTTTTTTTGAGACAGTCTCTCTCTCTGTCGGCTCACTGCAACCTCCACCTCCCGGGTTCAAGCAATTCTCCTGCCTCAGCCTCCCAAGTAGCTGGGATTATAGGCACATGCCACCATGTCTGGCTGATTTTTGTATTTTTAGTAGAGATGGGGTTTGTTTCTTTGTTGTTTTTTCTTTTGAGATGGAGTCTAGCTCTGTCACCCAGGCTGGAGTGCAGTGGCACAATCTCGGCTCACTACAACCTCCACCTCCCGGGTTCAAGCGACTCTCCTGCCTTACCCTTCTGAGTAGCTGGGATTACAGTCTCCCACCACCACGCCCAGCTAATTTTTGTATTTTTAGTAGAGACAAGGTTTCACCATGTTGGCCAGGCTGGTCTCGAACTCCTGACTTCATGATACGCCCACCTCGGCCTCCCAAAGTGCTGGGATTACAAACGTGAGCCACTGCGCCCAGCCTGTTTTTTGTTTTTTTGGTTTTTTTTGAGACAGAGTTTCATGCTTGTTGCCCAGGCTAGAGTGCAATAGCATGATCTCAGCTCACCGCAACCTCTGCTTCCCAGGTTCAAGCAATTTTCCTGCCTCAGCCTCCCAGGTAGCTGGGAATGCAGTCATGTGCCACCACACCTGGCTAATTTTGTATTTTTAGTAGAGACAAGGTTTCTGCATGTTGGTCAGGCTGGTCTCGGACTCCCAACCTCAGGCGATCCGCCTGCCTTGGCCTCCCAAAGTGCTGGGATTACAGGCGTGAGCCACCACTCCCAGCCCTTTACCCAGTTACTTTTAGTAATACTGCTGACATATATGTGTATCAGTTTCAGAATGCTTTACACACAGCTATCCAACTGCATATTGTTTTGTTACAGTACTTCTATATTTGATTTTCTTTGATTTTCCAAGTATATCATCACATCATCTACAAATACTTGTTTTCATCTTCAAAATAGGAAATAATAGGACTAATTGTGGGGACCTTTTTCATGTTTGACTTTAAAACAGATGTCTCCAAGGAATTCTCATTAAGTATTGTGCCAGAAATAGAATCTACATTTTAACAAGAGCCCTGGGTGATTCACATTTATTCTACTGGCTAATTTTTATTACTATTAGACAAGTTTTTGGTTTGTGGTTAGGTTTGTTTGTACTTGTGTCCCTCTAAAGGAAACAAACTATGTTCTTTTTTCCCAGATTTGGAGTCAGCATATGAGAATAAGAGTTTACCTACAGAAAAAAACATTCATGAAATAAGGGCTTCCAAAAGGAATTCAGATAGAAGAAGTAAATCCCTTGGCCGTAACTGGATATGTGAAGGTACGCTTGAAAGACCACAGCGCTCGAGAGGGAGGTATGTCAATCAAATGATCATCAATTATGTAAAAAGGCCTGCTACTAGAGAAGGTACCCCTCCTAGACCACATCAGAGACATCATAAGGAGAATTCCTTTGAATGTAAGGAGTGTGGGAAGGCCTTTAGTCGTGGCTATCAACTTAGTCAACATCAGAAAATCCATACTGGCGAGAAGCCTTATGAATGTAAAGAATGTAAGAAGGCCTTCCGTTGGGGCAATCAGCTTACTCAACATCAAAAAATTCATACTGGGGAGAAGCCGTACGAGTGTAAAGACTGTGGGAAGGCTTTTCGATGGGGCTCAAGCCTCGTTATTCATAAGAGAATTCATACTGGTGAAAAACCCTATGAATGTAAAGACTGTGGAAAGGCCTTTCGGCGTGGTGATGAGCTCACTCAGCACCAGAGATTCCACACTGGGGAGAAAGACTACGAATGCAAAGACTGTGGGAAGACCTTCAGCCGTGTGTATAAACTTATTCAGCACAAGAGAATTCATAGTGGGGAGAAGCCTTACGAGTGTAAAGACTGTGGGAAGGCCTTTATTTGTGGTTCAAGCCTCATTCAGCATAAAAGAATTCACACAGGTGAGAAACCCTATGAATGTCAAGAGTGCGGGAAGGCCTTCACTCGAGTCAATTACCTCACTCAGCATCAGAAGATCCACACCGGTGAGAAGCCTCACGAATGTAAGGAATGTGGGAAGGCCTTTCGCTGGGGTTCGAGCCTCGTGAAGCACGAGAGGATACACACGGGCGAGAAGCCGTACAAATGCACAGAGTGTGGGAAGGCCTTCAACTGCGGCTACCACCTCACTCAGCACGAGAGAATCCACACTGGCGAGACCCCGTACAAATGTAAGGAGTGTGGGAAGGCTTTCATTTATGGGTCCAGCCTCGTGAAACACGAGAGAATTCATACCGGGGTGAAACCCTACGGGTGTACAGAATGTGGAAAGAGCTTTAGTCACGGCCATCAGCTTACACAACATCAGAAAACGCACAGTGGGCCGAAATCCTACGAATGTAAGGAATGCGGGAAGGCATGTACCCACCCGAACCATCTCCGAGAACATCAGAGGATCCACAACAGTTGAAGAGCCTCTTGAACACCGTAGCCCGCTCGTATCTGTGGTTTCGCGTTCCACAGTTGGTTATCTGCAGTCCACTGCAGTTCAAAAATATTACATGGAAAATTCCAGAAATAACGAATGCGTAAGTCTCAAATGGTGTGCCCTTCCGAGTAGCGTGATGAAATCTCTCTGTCCGGCTCCACCCGGCCAGGGCTGTGAATCGTCCCTCGGTCCAGCACAATCACGCTGTCTGCGCTACCCACCCTGCTCGTCACTTAGTAGCTGTCTTGGTGATCAGACTGACTGTCATAGCATCACAGTGCCTGTGCTCAAGCAGTCCCTGCTTTGCTTAACAGCGGCCCCAGAGCAAGAGCAGTGATGCCAGTGATTCGGATATGCCAAAGAGAAGCCACAAAGTGCTTCCTTTTAAGTGAAACGGTGAAAGTTCTCAATAAGGAAAAAGAAAAAAAATCATATACTGAGGTTGCTAAGATCTACATGACAATAAGATATTTTGGGAGAGAGAGATACCTACGTTCATGTAATTTTATGACAATATATTGTTACAATTGTTCTATTTTGTTAGTTACTGTTGGTAATCTCTTACTGTGCCTAATTTATAAATCAAACTTTAGATACCGTATGTACAGGAAAAAATGTAGTATATAGTATCGTCTATATGTACAAGAAAAAAACAGAGTACTATCTGTGGTTTCAGGTATCCACTGGGGGTCTTGGAACGTATTCCCCTCAGGTGAGAGGGGACTGCTGTACAAAGAATGCAGGAAGGCCTCTAGACTACATCCATTCCTTCCTCAACACGAGGAAAAATCATGGTACAGTTTAACATAAGAAAGCCTTCACTGATCACTGTTTTTTTTTTTTTTTTTTTTTTTTGGAGACAGAGTCTCACTCTTGCCCAGGCTGGAGTGCACCACCACGCCTGGCTAATTTTTGTATTTTCAGTAGAGACAGGTTTCACCATGTTGTCCAGGCTGGTCTTGAACTCCTGACCTCAGGTGATCCACCTGCCTTGCCCTCCCAAAGTGCTAGGATTACAGGCATGAGCCACTGCGTCCAGCCCACTGATCACTCTTCTGCTTACAGAATATCAGAAGTCATTCTAGAGGCAAATTTGAATTGTGGAAAAATCACTTTTTCTTAATGATTGTGTTTTTGGTGTAGACGTTTTTATTGAGTAGGTTAGTTTAATGAATACATAAAGACTACCGATACCATTCTGTCTTTATTCCATGGCATCTGTGGAATAACCCTGCTAATGTAACATGTGAAAAAGCCTTTAGTCATGGCACCCACTCTCTCAGTGGTCCCCACCATCCCTCGCCCTCCTCCCTGTGAGACACTGGGCCAAAGGCTCACTACCCCTGTGCGTTGTCCGGCACACAGACACTTGTGCATTATTTGTACATAAGGATAGTCACATCTACCTGAGACTGCTATTGTGGAAATTAAATGTTTGGTACATGTAAAGTCTTTGAAAGTGTAACTGGAATATTGTATAAGTTCAATAAATATTAACTGTTGTTTTTATGATCATTACTACCATTTGTGTTGCCATTCGTGAATTTTTACAAGAAAACCCCCTGTGGGTGCAATGAGTCTGGAAAAGACCATTGAGCCTTCTAGAAGAAAACATTAAGAGATTATTGTCACAACCGTGGGTTATGCAATGATTTCTTAGTACACAAAACACAGCAAACATAAAAAGTTGTTACACTTCATCGAAAGTACAAAGTTCTGTTCATCAAATGATGCTGTTAAGATACGGGAAAGACAAGAAACGGGACTGGAAGAAGATATTTGCTCTACAGTACACCCGACAAAGGAACTCTCATAGAAAATATAAAGAATCCCTCAAGTTGAAAAAAAAAAAAAATCAATTTAAAGGGGAGAAAACTTAAGCACGTCTCAACAGAAAATCACCAAATGGCCAATAAGTAAGTGAAAGTGTATTCAATGTCATTGCTCCTCAAGGAACTGTAGAGTAAAACTACAATGTGCCGTCACTGTAGACAGTCACCAGGATGATTAGATTAAAATCACAGTAACAAGGTCGGTTTCTGATGTCTCACCACAAAGAAGGAGGATAAGGGAGTGAGGTGATGGATGTTAATTAGCTTGATTTAATCATTCCACATTGTATACATGTATCGGAACGTCACCTTGTACTCCATCAATATAATGCAATTATTATTTGTCAAATATTAATAAAGAAAATAAAAAATGAGCAGGTCTCTTGGTTGGATATTGAAACATGACCTATTCAAGAAGGAACCCCGCCAGCAGACTGCACCTCTGCCAAATCCTGGCGGTGCCCCACAGCAGGGACAGGGCGGGAGGGAGGTGAGCGGACTGGTCCTGGGGAAGGGGTAAGGGCCCGGAGTAGAGTTGTTACAGGAAAGGGGTGCCAGTCCAGGCCCCAGGAGAGAGTTCTTGGATCTCACACAAGAAAGAATTCAGCGGCCGGGCGCGGTGGCTCACCCCTGTAATCTCAGCACTTTGGGAGGCCGAGGCAGGCAGATCACAAGGTCAGGAGATCGAGACCATCCTGGCTAACACGGTGAAACCCCCGTCTCTACAAAAAAATTAGCCGGGCGTGGTGGCAGGTGCCTGTAATCCCAGCTACTCCAGAGGCTGAGGCAGGAGAATGGTGTGAACCCGGGAAGCGGAGCTTGCAGCGAGCCGAGATCGTGCCACTGCACTCCAGCCTGTGGGACAGAGCCAGACTCCGTCTCAAAAAAAAAAAAAGAATTCAGGACAAGTCCTCAGTGTAAGGCAAAAGCAAGTTTATTAAGAAAGTAAAGTGGTAGGGCCAGGTGCGGTGGCTCACGCCTGTAATCCCAGCACTTTGGGAGGCCGAGGCAGGTGGATCACCTGAAGTCACCAGCCTGGCCAACATGGCAAAACCCCATCTTTACTATAAATACAAAATTAGCCAGGTGTGTTGGCTCGCACCTGTAGTCCCAGCTACTCGGGAGGCTGAGGCAGGAGAATCACTTGAACCCGGAAGGCAGAGGTTGCAGTGAGCTGAGATCACGCCACTGCACTCCAGCCTGGGTGACAGAGGGAGACTCCATCTCAAAAACAGAAAAGAAAAAGTGGTGGAAGAACAGCTGCTCCACAGACAGCGTCGGACACTCCGGAAATTGGGAGGAAGGCATCCACCCTAGGTCCAATGCGCACATGTATGGGGAGATGTGCTCTGCTACGAGGGTTTGTGATAAAGGATTCCTTTTTTTTTTTCATTATTTTGCAAGAATTGATATTATCTTTAAAGCAAAACTAGGAATGCCTTTGTTCTCCAGAGATCAGGATATCTGAACACGCCCACGTCTGGGTCTGTTCAGTAACCATTATTAATTTGTCCCTTAACCATAAACATCCAGAGGCTCAGAATGCAGCCCAGCAAGTCTCAGCCTCATTTTCCTAACCCACACTCAAAATGGAGTCACTCTGGTTCAAACACCTCTGACAGAGTCCTGGGGGAGGTGAGGACACAGACTCAGGGGAGAGACCTGAACTATCTTAAGATGGTCCTAGGCTGAGGGTAGGATTATCTTAGGGAAAGGACCAGAGCCCATAGTAGGAATCGGAGAATATAGATTGGGGAGGACTCGAGACACCATGGGAGTGAGTTCGAGGGGGCAGAGGAGTGGCTAATGGGCATGGGAGGGCCTGGCGCGTGGGAAGGGGCGGTTAGAGCTCGGGGATGAATTCTGGGAGAGAAGGGATAGAGTCCTGGAGAGAGGCCTTAGGACTGAGAGAGGACTGGAGTGCTCCTGAGAGCAGCTGCGGAGATGGAGGGCAGACGCTACCTCCTGCAGGAGGACCTTAGGCACGGGGGATGGCGGTGTGGTTAGAGCTCAGGGGTGTCCTATAAAGGTTGGCAAAGGATGCAGAATATAGGGTTAAAGTCCTGCTTGTTTGGTTTACCTCAGGGGTAGGGTTACATTTCAATCAAAGCTGCTTAGTTCTCAGATTCCAAATACCTCAGCATTAGGTTAAGGATTCAGATGCTCCAGGGGTGGTGGGGAAGTGAGGGAGCATGTTCATGGGAAGGGGTTCCAGACCCAGGTTTCAGAGCTGGGTATCTTTCTGGTCTAGGCTTCAGTACCCTTAGGAATCAACCTCATACGCGGCATCATCCTGCTTAGTGCCCCTTTCCCCTGTGGACCCTACGCCAACATCAGCAGAAGGGGCCCAGGGTCCCCTCCTCGCCACCAAGAGCAACACGCATGGTGGGGTCACTGCCCTTCCCGTCATTCCCGTGTAAACAGAGGAGGAGCTGGGTGGGGTAGGAAGAGAAGAGCAAGGGATGGAGTATGAAGAGGAGAAGCAGGTGGAAGATAGTGACAGGAAGCTGGAGGGATGTGGGGGTGGGGATGGGGGTGGGGAGAATACTGAGAAACAAGGAGACTGTGCAGAAAGGCAGCACTGGCCTGGCCTTAGGGGACGCAGCCAAGGCACAGGAAGACAGCCTGGGAGGACAGGGTTAGTTCACAGAAGGAAACATGGGAAGAATGTGTGTCAGGCAGGACTCTTGGTTCAAGGAGCAAAATCCAAAGTCTACATAAAAAGCCCAGAGGTGGGCCGACGCGGTGCCTCACGCCTGTAATCCCAGCACTTTGGGAGGCCGAGGGGAGTGGATCACTTGAGGTCCGGAGTTTGAGACCAGCCTGACCAACATAGTGAAAATCTGTCTGTACTAAAAATGCAAAAATCAGCCTGGCACGATGGTGCACACCTGCAACCTCAGCTACTCAGGAAGCTGAGGCAGGAGAATCGCTTGAACCCAGGAGGTGGAAGTTTCAATGAGCCGAGATCGTGCCACTGCAGTCCAGCCTGTGCAAGAGTGAGTGTCTCCAAAACAATTTTTTAAATTAAAAAAATTACATATGTATTATATATATAAGATCTAAAAAACAAAATACAAAAGTAGCCTGATGTGGTGGCACCCACCTGCCGTCCCAGCTACTCAGGAGGCTGAGGTGGGAGGATCACCTGAGCCCATGAGCCCAGGAGGTCGAGGCTGCAGTGAGCTGTGATTGCGCCACTGCACTCCAGCCCGGGCAACAGAAGGAGACCCTGTCTCTAAATAAATAAATAAAAGCTAGAAGGGTTTTGAATGTTCGAAATACAAATAATAAATGTTTGAGGTAATGGATATGCTAATTACTCTGATTTGATCATTACTCATTGTGTACAGAAATCAAATTATCACTCTGTATCCCATAAACACATGTCATTATTATGTGTAAAATAAAAAATAAAGAATTTATGAGAAAGTATTTACTGCAGAGCAGACATCATTTTCTAGAGAGGCAGTAATTACATAGTTACGGAAGCCAAAGGGCAATGGGGAAGGTTCTGAGCTCTTTTAGGCACCTGTGGCTGAGTGAAACTCATCACCCAAAGCCGCCCCATCTGAACTACATGCACACAGCAAGACCAACAGAATAACTGCACACATTCCACTTGCTCTTTGGACAAATGTATGGGGTGACCTCACCTGAGTTTGCACTAAACCTGGAGTCATTTATTTCACAAGTTTTCACAGCACCAAGGGTCAGCAAACTGTCTGTTAAGGGCCAGTTAGTAAATCTTTCACTAGACACGTATTTTGCAGGGTGCATGTGTTCTCTGTCACATATTCCTCTTTATTTTTACAAGCTTTAAAAAATGCGAAAACTGGCGGGGCATGGTGACTCACGCTTGTAATCCCAGCATTTCCGGAGACCAAGGCGGGAACTCAAGAGACTAGCCTGGACGGCATTGAGAGACCTCGTCTCTACAAAAAATGGAAAACTTAGAAGGGGGTGATGGCGCTCACCTGTAGTCTCAGCTACTCAAGAGGCTGAGGTGGGAGGATCCCCTGAGCCTGAGAGGTCAAGGCTGTGGTGAGCTGTGATTGCAGAACTGCACTCTAGCCTGGGAGTCAGAGTAAGACCATGTCTAAGAAAAAAAAAAGAAAAAGAAAAGAAAAAAAAATAAAAATGTGAAAACCGCTCTTATCCCCTACAATGTACAAAAAGATCCTGGAACAGTGGTACACACCTGTAATCTCAGCACTTCAGAAGGCAAGGCAGGAGAATCACTAGAAGACAGGAGTTTGAGACCAGCCTGGGCAACAGAGCAAGACTCTGGGCCGGGTGCAGTGGCTCATGCCTTTAATCCCAGCACTTTGGGAGGCCCGGGCAGGCAGATCATCTGAGGTCAGGAGTTTGAGACCAGCCTGACCAACATCACGAAACCCTATTAAAAATTAAAAATATAAAAACTATTAAAAATATAAAAACTAGCCGGTTGTGGTGGCGGGTGCCTGTAATCCCAGGTACTCAGGAGGCTGGGGAAGGAGAATTGCTTGAACCAAAGAGGCGGAGGTTGCAGTGAGCCGAGATTGCACCACTGCACTCCAGCCTGGGAGACAGAGTGAGACTCCCAGCTACCGGGGAGGCTGAAGCAGGAGAATCGCTCGAACCTGGGAAGCACAGGTTGCAGTGAAGTGAAATAGGAAAGAAAAACAAAAAAGATGGGGGCTTGTTATTTTACCCAGGCTGCTCTTGGACTCCTGGGCTCAAGCCATTCTCCCACATTGGCCTCCTGACCTCAGGTGATCCGCCCACCTTGGCCTCCCAGAGTGTTGGGATTACAGGCTTGACTGCGCCCAGCCCACTCCAGGATTTTTATAGTTTGACATCTCACATTTAAATCTTTAGTCTTGAGTCAATTTTTCAATATGGTGAAAGGTAGGAGTCCAGTTTCATTCTTTTTTGTTTGTTTTTTAGAAAATCCTAGGCCAGGCACAGTGGCTCACGCCTGTAATCCCAGCACTTTGGGAGGCCGAGCTGGGTGGATCACTTGAGGTCAGGAGTTTGAGACCAGGCTGGCCAACATGGTGAAACCCTATCTCTACTAAAAATACAAAAATTAGTTGGTTGTGGTGATGGGC